GCCGGTCAGTTATATAAACCACGAGCCGCCACTGAGCCTGTGTATTTTACGGCGGTCGCAACTGCATAAAAGGTCATATGAGCGCGCGGGACACATTAAACATCAGTTGGTAGGAAATTTTGAATTTTGCCCAGGTGGCGGCCAAAGCCGGGTCTTATCGATTTTAGACCACCAAGGGATCTTTAACGTGCGCAACTTGATCACCCGACCTCCGAGATTTTTCACCCTTGTCCGAGAAGGCTAGGTGTAGACATTTGGTGTAGATCTAGCCACGAGCCGCCCCTGTCTGTGATAGCACGCAGCTGCCGAAGCGTAGTGCCAGTAGAAGTGCGTTGGTTTTAGTGTCAAGCATTGAGGGTTTTTATGGGTCTCTTGGTAAGCAAAAGTTGGAACGGGCCGGTGTAAGGATGTTAATGGAAAAAAGTTGAAATATTGATCGCAGCTGCCCGAAGCGAAGCACAAGTTCGAGCGCTTTCCTATAGAACAATCATTGAGATTTTTTAATGGGTCTCTTTGTAACAAAGGATGGAACGGGCCGGCGAGCCGCGGAGGGGAGGCATTAACTATCCGTTTGTTGAAAATGGGAAGAGACACAGAGTGCTTTGTCGAACCTTCGGATAAGATAATTAAATCTTTTTTTTCACTCAGGACGGACAGTGTTCGATTTTTGCCCCTCTCTTTTCTCTTATCCGAGGGGCCAACAAAGCACTCTGTGTCTCTTTGTCCCATTTTCAACAAACGGATTGTCAATGCCTCCCCTCCGCGGCTCACCGACCCGTTCTATCCTTTGTTACAAAGAGACCAACTAAAAATTGTCAATGGCTCTATAGGAAGGCGCTCCAACTAGCACTACGCTTCGGCAGCTGCAAGCTATCACAGACAATGCAAACAAAGGTGAATTGAAATTCCATCCCTCTGGTTACCAAGAGACGATTTCCAATTTTAAAAAATGCTTTTTGCTAAAACTCCAACTCGTTCCGCCCCCCCCCCCCCTTCCCAGCTTCGATATTTGCATAAAAACTAAAAAAAACTTAAAAAATCCCACCGGCCGTACACCTACAGCTCCATCCCTTGTTTACCAAGAG